TCTCTCCTCGGTGCGCCGTGACTCCCCCCCCCCCTCCCTCCCACATGTCAAGGTCGAATAATCGCATTTGCCCCGGCCAGCCCGACCCGACCCTGCCGGCGGCGGCGGCGGCGGGGCGGCGCGTCCCACGCGTCCCGACCCACACTAGAAACCACAGCAGCTGATCCGGTGGAATGGAAGTATCCGTAGAGGTCGCCCCGCGTCTCGAGGGCCTTGACACTTGACGTGCAGCGCGCAGCGGCGTCGTGACAGAACTACCCCAAGCAAGGCGCTGGCGGGGAGGGGTAAGGTCATATGACCATAGGGAAGGGGGGGGGGGGAGCACCGCGAGGCTGTCACCGCGACATCCGTCAGCGCCGCGTCGTGCAGCGAAGACCAAGTGTCGACGCGACGAAAGGCTACCCGCCCCGCCTTCAGGTGAACTGGCTCTCGATATCGACGATCCGTCAAAAGTCTCGAGCCCGGCAGAGTGACGCGCGGCGCGCCCGGCCGCCGCCAACAAGGGCTTGCTTGCCAAGGGGGAGTGCCGGGCGCCGCGGCGGCCGCCGAGCTCAAGCTCAAAGGGGAGGACGCGCCTCGTGTCACCGAGAACCCTACATCACCTTATCGGTCATCGCACGCCTCAGTGGTGCAGTGGTGGGTGAGCACCGCCACGCCCACTGGCCCACTGGAAGTGCAGAGCGCGGCCACGGCGTTGGTGGCAGGGGCGCCTCGAGCACCGCGTCGTGGACGACGGGAGGCTTGGCGTGGCCGGCGAGGCAGCAATAAACGTGGTGCAACGAGCACTAACGGCCGGCCGCGACGGGTCTTACCGCCGCGCTATTCCAAGCGGCGCGTGGCGCGTACAAAGACACCTGCCGTGTCTGCCGACCCGCGTCCACGCGCAGCACCGCGTCGAACCGAAGAGGCCGACTCGGTGTCCGTAGACGACAAACTTTTCACGTGGGAATTTATCTGAGGAACGCATGCCGCCTACGGCGAGACCCTCCCCCTCCCACACACACCGCTCACTCTCACCAGCTCGCTGCAGCGCCCCCCAGACTCTGGGGCCCAGAGCGAAAGTAAAAGCCCTCAGCTCCCCACCCCGCCCCGCCCCACAGACAGCCAAGCACGAAGACGACGGCAGGACGGGACTTCTTCGCTTCGACCCGCTGGCCCAGCCGCAACACCGCGAACTTATACATACAGCGAAAGTAGGGCCCCGGGGGCCGCTGGTGGAAGTCCTCGACGGACACAGTGTACGGCATGGTGTCGCCGGCGCTCCGCTAGTCACTACACTGCCATGGGATGGGGCATCGCCGGCATCGGCATGAGTAAAGCCATGGGCACGGCCAAGATATCACGCCATGTGCGCGCCGCGCCGCCCGCCAGGCCGGCAGGGCCACGCAGGGCCCGCCACGCTCGACATCGACATTCGTTGCGAATCGAGCCGGAGATAAGCCGGGCGGATCTACAGAGCCACCCACTCACTCACACACACACACACACACACAAACACAGCGTGCAAGTGCCGCGGTGCATGACACAAACAGACCAGCTGACCGACGACTCGCACCCACCCTCGATAGCTTCTCAAGGTTTGTTGGATTTAAATTCTTTTCCTCGCGTTTCGCGTCGGTGGATCCACACGGCGCACAGTGGGCCAGAAGACCGGTGGAGGCGGACAAAACTCTTGACGCGTTTCGAGCTCCAGAGTCGCTAAATGGGACTCGAACCGAACGTGTGATCCCACCAATGGATAGCTCTTCGAACGAGGAATCCATTGATGGGGTCGCACGTTCGGTTCGAGTCCTGTTTAGCAACTCTGGAGCTCAAAACGCGTCAAGAGTTTTGTCCACCTCCACTGCGGCGGGTCTCGTGTCACTCGATGCCGCCGAGGCACAGTGGGGCGAAACGAGGCCGGCGCACGGCCGCCACGGACGGGTACTCCATCACCTCGAGTCGTACGTCAGCCACCGACAGCCCGCCGCGCCGAGGCACGGCCGAGGCATGGCCGAGGCCCTCGCCGTCCCCGCCGCCGCGTTCCGCGAAAGGAGAACAGGGACGAAATGTATTTTACATTGGCGGCGCGGCGGCGGAGACACGGCCGCGCGTCACGTGACGTGACGCAAGACGCGCATCGCGCACCGCTCGGACTCGCACGGTCCAGGACGACCAGCGTCGCAGCCTGCCTGCCAGTCTGTATTGTTAACACGTGCGGACGTCGCTAGCCGCGGCGCCAGCCAGCGCCAGTCAGCGCCAGACACCGCCAGACAGCGCCAGCCTCCTCGCACCCGGACGCTAACCCAGTGGCGCCTGCAAGCCTGCAGGGCATCGGCCACGGGCGGCCACAGGCACTGCCAGCAGACTGATTCCGAGAGTCGTTTTCGTCGCTCTGTCTCTTTCGCACCTAAAGGGGACGCCCCATGAGTGCGAGAGAGACAGAGCGACGAAAACGACTCTCGGAATCAGTCTACAGGCACTGCGAGACTGTTCGGCGGCGTTTTCCGTCCCGCGCCCCTAACGCCTGTCACCCAGGCCAGCCCGCCGCACACGGAGCGCACGCCGCGGCCTACCCGCCAGGCGCTCTACTCGGCCAGCTCCGCTGGAGTCGGGGCTCGCGTCCCGCGTCCCCGCCGGCGGCGGCCCTGACCCGGGCGCACCGCCCTGCCCTGCTTCGGGTCGAGGAGGGACGGAGGGAGGTCTGGAGGTCGCCACTGACGCACGCGTCGAACCGCCCGTCGCGACTTAATCGGCCGAGAAACAATCCATCAACATCGGCAGGCCGGGCAGGCCCGGCACGCCCTTCCTTCCACCTTCCAGTGCCGTGCCGGCGAAAGGACCACGAAAGGACGGCCGAAGAGACGGGTCAAAAGTCCGCCCAGACTGCGCGCCAAAACGGGCGCCGTGGCGCGCTCTAGCGGCCGGCGGCCGCAGCTCCGCGACCAGCGCTGTGCGCGCTGTGCACACCACACCGTGAGGCTGCAGGCCGCAGGCAGCAGGCGCCCTCTGGCGGCGCGCGGCGGCGACTCCGCGTCGCGGTGCCCGTCGGCGATACCCCGCGCGCCGAGCTGGCGCCAAGGGGTCTTCCCGCGCCGGCATCCTCCAGATTCTACCGGTGTTAGCGAATCCGTCGAGCAGAGGCGAATCTTCGCCCCGTCACTCTAACTGCCACATGCACCCTTCCTCCCCCGTCCTGGCGGGGTGGCCCCCGGGACGCCAGCGCGTCACATCACGGGCGTGCGCGTCACGACGGCCAAGGATGGCCGGCCGCCAAAGCCGTCACGCAGGTAGGCAACCCGGCCGCCGTCGGCAAGCCGTCGTGCCCAGCCACCCGGGCCCATAGCGACCCCCGCCCCGCCGCCAGCTGCCAGTACGGCACACGGCGACAGCGACAATAAAAATAAACAAGGGAATCAATCCGGGAAGAACCACCCCCCAGCCGTGCCTCGCCGTGCCACGCGCCGCCCTCCCCCTCCTCTAATATTCTTTTGGCAGCCCGTCATCGCATTTTTGTCGCCCGGCCCGCAATCGGGGCAGACGGCGGCCACGTGGGCCTGGGCGGGCCTGGGCGGGCCTGAGCCAGCAGCCCTCTCTCTCCCACCCCGTCGGCCCGGCCCGCGGGTGCGAGTGGGACAGGACAGCGCGACGACGCGAGCAGTGCCGGGAATCGTGCTCGGAATCAGCCGTCTGATTCCGACCACTGCTTTCGTCGCTCTGTCTCTCTCGCACTCATGCGGCGGTCCGTAGGGGTGCGAGAGAGACAGAGCAGGGGGTGGCAACGCCCTGCATCTTTCTTGACGCCATGTTCGGCCACCCCTAGCACATTAGTTTACTTCGACGAGATCCAAAGTACTAAGTCCATTAGAGCCAAACTGTTTTGTTATTACGATAATATATGAATTGAGGAAGTGTTTAGGCCAGGTTTCAACTCAAAAACTCAAAAACTTTCCAAGATTAACGTTTTGAAAATAAAAGTAGACACTTTTCTTGTAGCGATTTTAACAAAACCCAATTTTTCTCTTGTTTTCACGATGCGGTTTCAAGGAGTGAATTGATCGTAAGTGTGCTCTCGTTTGATTATTACTTTAATATGACCTTTTAACTTGATACCGCACTCAAGTTTCATTCGATTCCTTTGCTGGGTTCAGAGAGTATCTCCTTGAAAAGAACCATGATTTAAGGGGGGGGGGTTCGAACATGGCGTCAACATAGGTGTACAGCGTTGCCACCCCCTGGACAGAGCGACGAAGCAGTGTTCGGAATCAGACGGCTGCCTGCAGCGGGGCGGCCCGGCGCACAGTGGGCCAGAGACCGGTGGAGGCGGCCAAAACTCTAGACGCGTTTTGAGCTCCTGAGTCGCTAAATGGGACTCGAACCGAACGTGTGACCCCACCAATGGATTGCTCTCCGAACGAGGAATCTATTGGTGGGGTCACACGTTCGGTTCGAGGCCTGTCCAGCGACTCTGGAGCTCAAAACGCGTCTAGAGTTTTGGCCGCCTCCACCGGTCTCTGGCCCACTGTGCGGCGGCGGGGCGGCACGCCAAGCAACGCCAAGCCACGCGGCGCAATGCCGTCGGACGGCGCAGTTAGTCATTCGAGTCCGAAACGTGCAGGCCAGAGTGCTGTCACATTTTCTTCTTCGGAAAAGTGAAGAGTTTTTGAAAAAAGAGGCACGCAAACTTGATCCAGGAAGCGGAAGAAGGGGTTAAGTCGAGTTGATTCAGTGACCTCTCATCAGTCTATCAAGTAAACATGAGCGAAAATTTGGTCCAAAAATAAGTGTGGTGAGACAAGTCCCATCCTCTTGCATCTATTTTTAGATGACATTCCCCACCTGTTCTCCCACCTGGAAGGTTTAGGCCTTGCAAAAGTGCACGGATTCAACTCGACTTATCCCCTTCTTCCGCTTCCTGGATCACTTTTCCTGATGCACAAGCCAGCTCCCGGCGGCTGGAAGAGCCTTCCCGCGGCAGCAGTAAGTCACTCCACTCCACTGCGAAATGGCGGGTTGGTTACCTTTGGGGCAGGGGCACGGACAGATGGCGGGTAAGCTCTCGGTGCGCGGGCAGCGGACCACTCGCTCTCCTGTTGGAATCAAAACAAAACTGGGTAAGCAAGGTGTGACAAGTTAGGAAAACAAAAGTACACTACGCACCGTGAGAAAAAAGTACGGAAAAAGTACGGAACATGTCTGGTCAATAATTTGCCTGGAACGTCCGTACTTGCCAACTACGGAACGTTCCGTACTTTGTTTCCGTACCCATTTACATGGGTTCATATGGAGCAAGTACGGAACGTTCCGTACTTTCCCCCGTACCTCCGTACTACATTTTTCTGTACCATTTCCGTACAAAAGTACGGAATTTTTTACACTACGATAACAACTAAACGGGTCGCTCTCGGGTCGCTGCGTCAATGAGAGACAAACGCGGAGCGTTTCCGCGTCCGCCAGGTCGCTTTCCGAAATGGCATTCGCAGAACGAAGGCAGGCGAGTCCGATTCGGAGGCGAGATTGCCATTGCCGCGAGCGAAGACCAAAACGGCGGAAAAGTTTCTTCGCGTCTGCCTTCGTCCCCGCCGCCGCCGCCGCCCCCGCAGGCAGAGGGCGGGGCGCGGGCGCGGGTGCACTGCACGTCGTCGACTGCGCTGCAAGTTCTGAAGGCAGGGAAGCGCAAGCCGGCCGTGCCGCGGTCGAAGCCTCGGGGGAGGGGACCTTTCCCGTCAAACCGAACCGAACCGCGAGAACCGAATCAGGTTCAACCGAGGCCACCGCCGGCTCATCCGGTTTCGAGCGTGCCCAGCCCACACCGCCGGGAACACGCGTCAGGTCACTGGCAGCAGGTCAGCGGGAAAACAACAACAACTACAGCAACAACAATAACCGTTTCCGAATTTCTCCAGAATGAAAGCGAGGGAGGGGAGGAGGGGGAGAACAGACGGCGCACAGTGGGCCAGAAACCGGCGGAGGCGGCCAAAATTCCAGACGCATTTTGAGCTCCAGATACGCTAAATGGGACTCAAACCGAGCGTGTGACCCCACCAATGGATTCCTCGTTCGGAGAGCAATCCATTGGTGGGGTCACACGACGTTCGATTCGAGTCTCATTTAGCAACTCTGGAGCTCAAAACGCGTCTCGAATTTTGGCCGCCTGCGCCGGTTGCTGGCCCACTGTGCGGCGGGGCGGAGCGCCCGGCAACCGCGGCCGCGCAGGCCCGTTGCGCTCCGGTGCGCGGCGTGCTGCCTGCCTGCCGGGCGATTGCGATTGCGATTAACGGCTGGCCGGCCAGCTCCAGGGCCTCCAGCGCCTCCAGCCGGTAGCGCCACTGTGGAACGCAGCGAACGCGGCCCGGGACGGGGGTGCGAGTCGCCTGGAATCCCAGCTCCGCCGCTCCATGTCACCACACTGCATTGTCCAGCACGCCGGGAGCAAAAAGGTGAGTCGAGAGACTTGACAGAGGCGCAACGCTCGCGGTCGCGCTGCTTGGCAAGCCAGCTGGCCAGCCCGCAGCACACCGCCAAGCCGGCCAAGACCATCGCATTTGAGTCGCATCTGCTGTTGGCAGCGCGGGAACAAGCAAACGCGTTGCCTGCGCCACTCGGACGAAGCGACCGCCCCGCTGCTTCGACGCCCGCTCCATCTATATCGACCCTCGAATTATACCAGGGGACCAAAGTTACCCTGCGGCCTGCGGGGATGGGAATCAACATTTCAAATGGGCGGTCCGGCCCGCGCCGGAAAAGGCCGGGCCAAGTTTAATCAGAGCCGCTTACACTCTCCACTCTCCGATTTATCGAGTCCCGCACGCAAACAGTCGCGCAACGCACTCGCTCGCTCTCTCTCTATCTGATGGAAAGCACTGGCGGAGAAACAAAGGCGACGGTGGCGATAGCGCGGCGAGAGTGGGGCGGGCCGGGCCGGGGCCAGACCGCCTCAAAGTCGACAAAGTAAACAAGGCGATCGGAAGGCGCGCCGTCGTCACGCCGCAGGATGCTGTCCCAGTGACAAGACAGGACGCCACGGCCACGACGGCCCGCGTGCTCATTTACAGCGCAGAGCCCCCGGTGGGGGGCGGCGGGGCGCGGCGGGGCGCGGCGGGGCGCGGCGGGGCGGGCCACAGGGGCGGCCGCCGGGCAGCGCGTCAGCGACGTGCGACGCGGCGCGGCGAGCCGGCGGCCCAGACACGCATGCAGAGCAGGCCGAGCAGGGAGCAGCCCGGCCTTGGTGGCCGCGCAGTGCACCGCGCACCGCCTGGGCAGACTGGGCAGCTGGGACGGTGCCAACACACCCCGGCCACCCTGCCCTTCCCTTCCGCCGCCCTACACGGCCTGGACGCGGCGCCTCCCGCGGCACCTCCCCGCCAAGGTCGCCGACGTGGAGCCCGAGGTTGGGCAAGACGGCCGCCAAGGCCGCGCCCAGCCGCGCGCCGCACACGTGGGTCGCACGTGCAGCAGGACCGGTCCCAGGTAGACGAATCCGTGGCGCGGCGTGGCCCGGCGCGGCGTGCGCGTCGCGTGGCCGGCACGTGGCGGCGTGTTGACGGCGACCACGTGGACCCCACCTGCGCCCCAGATAAGGCGCCGCGCGCGCCGCCCTGCACCGCCAGCGCCACACAGCCGAGGACGCTACTGACCGCCAGCGTCAATATTATCGTGTCAAGCCACCGCCACCAGACCACCAGGCCGGCGGCCTCCAGCGCCGAGCCGGTGTGACGACGTCCACGCCGTGTGGCGTTTGTTGTTGTCACCGCGACCAGACCCGTTGAGCGCACGGCGCTCCTGCAACTTCCTGCACAGCGAGGTCACCGTCGAGACGACATCGGCGGTGACCGCTAGCGCTGCGATTCTCTGGTAGTGCCACCGCCGCCCACTACTGACCCACTCCAGGACTCCAGGGCCCAGGCCCAAAGCGTGGAGCGCTATTCGAACCCGCGCGCCGTCGCGGTCATCGACTCGCGCCGCATTGCATGGCATTGCCATGGCATTGCTGCGCGCGGCTCATGGCGCGGCTCATGGCGCGACGCATCGGCGGCCCCCTCCCGGAGGCTCGCCCTCGGTCGGCGAGAGGCGCGCGCTCATTGGTCCAGGCCATCACCTGACGTCGAGAGGAGCGCTGCCATTGGTCCGGCCCGCGGGCGGGACACGCTGCAGTTGTGACGCGGCGCGACGCAGACCGCAGCCAAGCAACGGACGGGACGGGACGCGGAGGGCACTTCGCGGCTTCGCGGCACCGCGCGGCACGCCGCCGGAACCACACTGAAAAGCAAAGCGCCGCTAGGGGTCGTCCACATATTACGTAACGTTTCGCTTGACTGTGTCCTTGTCGCTCCTTATGGTCTGCCGCAGTGAGTGCGAGAGAGGCAGATGATACGTGGATGACCCCGGTGTGACACACCAGACGTTGGAGACCACGAGCGGGAGCAAGGTCACCACACTGCACCCGGAGAGCGCGCAAGGCAGGTCCCACAGTCGTGACGACACGCATTTGATTGGCTGTTGGTCGCAGCGAGGCACTGGCCTCGCCTTCCCGCACCTTGTCCAGACTGTGTCCAGCCAGACGGCACGTGCAGCGCTGCAGTGCACTGCAGTGCAGGCAACGCAGAGATAAAAGTTGGCCGCGCCAGGCATGCAGTCAGTGCCGCCAGCCCGCCAGTGGTGCAGTGGAGGGAGCTATCAATTGAAATCAATCCCGCACATTCGAGACGCTCCCACCGAAACAAACAAAGAGAGAGAGAGAGAGAGAGAGAGAGAGAGAGAGAGAGAGAGAGAGAGAGAGAGAGAGAGAGAGAGAGAGAGAGAGAGGAGAGAGAGAAGAGAGAGAGAGGGGGGGAGAGAGAGAGGGGGAGAGAGAGAGCCCTTACAGAACGAGAAGTCCTGATTCGGGCTGCTGGGATGGACTCATGAGGGACTGGTGGGTGGACTGACGGCATACTGAAGGGACTGAGTCCGACAGGTTGACCAAGGGGTTGAACGGGTTGAAAAGGTTTCATATTTCGGACTAAATTCAACCTCGGAACGGGTTGATACTAGTCCGACCGGGTTGAATCGGTCGGTCGAAAAAACGAACAGAAGCGAGAGTTGAACCCACACGTTCGGCTTGGTGTCCCGACACCTTAGCCGTTACACCACGGCTCATCTCTGCTTCACGGACTGACGCGGAGCGGTCTGTATCTTCGCTTGCGCCTAGCTGACTCTTGTCTTTTGTGCGCTGTTATGCGCCCAGGCAAGCTGTATGGCGAATGATAAGTGTTTGTGCCTACACCCACTGTATTCTCGTAATGTATTTCAAGCTTGGACGAGCTTGGACTTGCACCCAATAAGTTCGGTGCCGATAAGTTCTGGGCAGCGGCCTGCAAGAGAGAGAGAAGGCACTTCCATCCGCCCCACCGCGCCAAGAAACGACCCCGGCGATACCCCGAGCGGAGGGCCCAAGTGCGCAAGAGACTCACTCGAAGAGACCGCCCCGCCCCGCCCAGCCCATATGGCCGGCGTTTTAAAGTCACTCGGTCGCGTCGCGGAGTATCGCCGGGTCACTTCTTCTTCCGCGATTGATCGTACAGTGCCGTGGCGTGGCGTGGCGTGCCGTGGCGCCTCTCCGCCGCCGGGCTGGGCGGGGCGGGCACTGGCAGAGCACTCGCGGAGCACTCCGCGAACGGCCAAACGGCTGGGCAAAAGGCCGAGCCGGGCCTTGCCGGGCCTTGCCGCCAATGGCATATCGGGAATCAATGGACCCGTGGCGTGGCGTGGCGCCGCCGGCCGAGGCGCAATTCGACGCCCTGCCCTCCACGCGTCATGCAGCAAACGCGGCGAAATAAGGGGCCACCCCCACACGCCTTCCAGTAATACAGGGCGGAGGTTGAAGGTGACGCCAATCATTCGGCGCCGTCATCCGCTTGGGTCAAATGGAACACCCCCCGCCCCCCCGGCCCCAAGGTTACTCACCCCCGGGGTCCGGCGGATGACCCAAGTGGGCCAGAGGACCGGTGGAGGCGGCAAAAACCCGGCCCGGGCGTTTTAAAAGCCTTCGCGTCGCGGAGATGGGGCCCCCCGGAATCGTAACCGGGGGTGGCCCCGTCCAATGGTTGCC